GATGTGGAAGAGAACGGACACTTGTATTTCATGGATGAGGAAGTCATTTGGTCAGCGGAGACTCTTAAGAAACGGCCGTTCCGAAATAAATCACATCAGAAATAAGCCTTAAGCAGATTGGAATACTCTGGAGTATGGCCATAAGAAATCTACGACTTACCAATTCTGAATTATGGGACGAGGAACTGGAAAAACCAACTAAGCTATGTCTTGGAAGCGGACATCCAGAAGAAGCAATTCAACGAAACATACAGATCGTGATGAGCAGATGGTTGGACAGGGCTTATGAAAGGAAAACAAGGGACACAAATGAAAAACTATGGATGTCTAACCGGCTGCAAATCGCTTTGGAAGAGGAAAACATCAGCGAGAATTTCACAAGCTGCCTGGGCAGACTTGACGATTCAGCAAGGACAACCAAGAGAAGACAAGTATATGTTTTCAACAACAGGAAGAGACATCGCCAAGAAATGGATCCCGAGGGACAAATGGAAGTCAAGAAAATGTGATTATAGCAAGAGGATTCAAACCTGAAATCTGCTTGAAGTTACGGGTGTAGGTCAACCTGTGGGAGAGTAAATTAAAGTTCAGACACATACAAATTGTGCAGGCCAAGGCTCTAACTCCATTTCAAATTCACAGGTTGTGGAAACCGAGCTGAGGGGCACAATTTCAGTCGGTTACCATTAAGTGTTCTCGTTCGCATTCTTCTTCTGTTCCCCAAATGCGAAGGGACTGTACACATGCCTGACTAGGGTGGTTACCAACCAACCCACATATGCGCAACTGACCAGAACCTTAGGATTTTGTGGGACTTTCAATGAATCGATGCAAGAGTGGAGCAAGGAAGAGGTACATCTTCACAATAGCGATTACGAATAAAATAAGACAGAGTCCCAGAAAATGCGATAGAATTGTGTGGGGGTGAGAAACATGAAAACTGGATGATAGGTCTGAAGCTTGGTGATGTGTATGCATGAAAATCACTTTTTTAAATCCTTAAATATGACGTAAACGAGGAGTAAAGTTGAAGACTCATAGGCAGCCAGGTTTCAGACAGTCATACGGTGAATTTCATGTGTAGCAGGATAGAGGGGGGGGGGCAAATAAAGGAAATGAAACCATGATTCAGGAGCCCTACAAACGGCATATGAAACCTGTGGTGAAGTTAACTGTGTTTCACTAAATCCACTCGGAGCGACCCTCTCTTGGGTGAAATTGGAGGAAACGAGAGCACTGAATTGTGTGAATAGATAAATGGACGATATGAAGTGGGGTTGAGAGAAAGGAATGAAGCACTAGAAGGTGGGACTAAAATAGGGGCCAGGAGGGATGTCATGATGGTTTAACAGAAAATTGGTCGAGGGGATTGCCAACCTTTGTCACTTTGATAAGTTGTACATTTGTGCTAACCATGGCACCTCTCACTGAGATGCCGGCAAAATGGCTGGGAATGTGCCAAGTCAACGGTCCGATGTCGGAAATATCCATGAATCCTCGAGAGCAGAGGACACAGGACTAGGTACGTTCCACAAGGTCTCCCTGTTACCCCAAGCAACTTGTGAAAACATGGTCAAACGAGCCTGCGACCAAACAAACGGCCAAAGCATCCTGGTCTTCATAACTAATCTCAAAAAGAAGTATGCTAATTTTGCTGACTGCTTCATTAGGATAGGAATTTTTATCTCACAAAATTTTACTACTCAATCAGAACGAAATGAGTGCGATCGCAATAACTATTTAGCTGAAACCAAAACCTGCCTTGAGCTTAAGCATTACATCATAAGAAGAACCATTTGTTGTAGTTTTTCCTCATCAAGCAATGCAAAATGTAGCCCTGAAACTTGAGGATTGTACATCTATTCAAACCAACTTTAGTCTGGTATCTCTCAGAATTACAGGATACTCAGATTCCGTCAAGACGTCTAGGCTTCCTAAAAAACAACTTAACTAATTCAGGATGTTAGGGGGAACTTCATTTCGAATGAAAGTACATGATGAAGAGATTCGTTTGTCGTTATCACCAG